AAGCCACAAGGAAGCTCAGGTCTTGCTTGCAGCTGTAACTGTTGCTGCTGAAATGTTATTTGATAATAGAGGTTCAATTCGCTTGAAATTAAAAATTGTAATCATTTTGGTGGTTTTTATTATAGTATATGTAATAAGGGTTTTTTGGTATTATCATTACTAATGTTGCTGATTTTTGGAATTTTTTTGTAGAAATGCCAGAATGTCTGGAGTAATGCAGTTTTTTAGAGATTTCTTTTCTTTTCGGGGTGTTTGCTTCAGAAATCGGTCTTTTGGAAGGTACCATTTCTTTTCGGGGTGTCTGCTTTAGAAAAAGTTGATGTGGCTATTATACATTGGATATTTACAAGAACACGTACACACCTATTATTACATATTTAGTTTTAGAACATATTATGACATTATACTTTGATATTCAATCCAGAATCTTTTATTTCCTCTGCTTTGACTGCTTTTCTTATGAACATGGTTTTAGAACATATCAGGAAACTCATTTCATTGTCCCTGATCCCATATGTAGAACAGAGAAATTCTTTGCTGCTGCTGCTGCATCTGGAAGGTAAACAACAAACATGAAACATCTCTTGAGTCTCGAGTCTTTACCTTGCTTTGTGATCGGTTTATCCACTTACACAAGATGTTTGGACATATTCTAGTAATCTCTTAAGTCTTAATACCCATTATTCGTTATGCTTGCAGAGATCTTGGGAGCCAAGTGATAAAGCTGATCTTCACAAGTCAAGGATCAATAAATAGTTAGCAACAATGGCATACTACCACTTTGTCTACAAATATGTTGAAGGGGCATCATCTCAAAAGGATGATATTCAAAGAAAACTTGGCAACTTACCTCCCAAGTGAAAGTTGCAAAGTTTGGGTCAGGTATTCCCATTTCAGGATCCGATTTTGTGCGTGAGGTATCACAAGCTCCATCTGATGTGTGGGTGGTTGTTAATCTATACAAAGATGGGTAATCACTAATTCATGAATACATATCTAAGTCTCCGGATGAGTTAGTGTTTAGAAACGAGTTCTTTTTGTTGTAGTTAATGGTTTGGATATCATGGAGAAGCCAACTATTACACATATATATGACGCAGAGTGGTAACGATATTCATTATCGTTTTAAAAATAATTAATAGTAATACGTTTATATTATTATTATTATTATTATTATTATTATTATTATTATTATTATAGATGATGATTCAATTTTTTTTTTTTTTTTATGTATGTAGGTTCAAAAGGTTGACTGGTAGAAGTGATGTGGCAGTTTGACCTCGTGACTATAAGTTTTATGCCCCAAGACATAAGTATAGGCGTTCTTCATCGAATTTTGTTTCAAGCATTTCTGTTTTTTCTGTAAGTTTTCTATGCTGATTTTATTTATACTAATATTGAAGATAATGAATAATGATGACATATTATTGTTTTGAGTTTAGACTTTTCCTGGTGCTGCTAATTCTTCTCCAATGTTTGTTGCTCAAGGATACCGCTCTCTTACTGAAGTAAAATCTTTTACTTTTCACCATTTTATTGATTATATAATTTTGAATAATTATGATAATAAGATTTAGTGAATAATTATTTTCAGCCACATCCACAAGATGATGAACATCAGCAGGCATCATCAAAACAGCATTTGCAAAGTCTTCCACACCAGGGTCAGTTTCATATTCAATCGCTGACTCATGGTCAACATGGTTAATATTCTCAATCATCACATCTTGCTGAATTTGGGCACACACAGCAGTCCTCTGCCATGTCTCAACATTTGGCTTGTTTACAACCACTCACACACCTTGGACCCTGCTTGCATGTACTGGTAAACTTTCTAAACAATGAAGTTTGTCAAACAAAATTAAATTATAAGCCCTATTTTTAGGGTTAAAATCATTTTTTTTTGAACATTTATCACAAAGATCAGCTATATTGATGACATAATAAATTTGAATTTGTTTAGAAAAGTCTTAGTTTTAACATGATACTACTGGAGGTATTGTTATTTCTTCATCTTTTGGCTTTCATTATTTGTTATTTATTTATTACAGCATTGTACTTTGAAAGTCATTTAAATCCAAATACAAAGCAATACTTGGGTAATTAAATAAGAAAAATAAAGTTAATCATTCAGGTTAGAATAGTATCAACACACAGAATAGGTGAATTGATGTTTTGTTATGCTTCATCTGCTAGAGAACGAGGCATCCAAGTTATTATTGCTGGTGCAGGGGGTGCAACCTATTTGCCAGGTTTTATTCTCTACTTTACTTTTATTTCTTCCCAATACAACAATTTCATTTTTTTTTTCATTTTTTTCCAAAATTTGTGATTAGGTATGCTAGCTGCAGAGGCATCCAAGTTATTATTGCTAGTGCAGGGGGTGCAGCCTATTTTCCAGGTTTTATTCTCCACTTTACTTTTATTTCTTCCAAATACAAGAATTTCAAAAAAAAAATTCATTTTTTTCCAAAATTTGTGATTAGGTATGCTAGCTGCATTGACACCCTTACATGTCATTGGAGTTCCTGCGCGTGCTTCAGCATTAGATGGTCTTGACTCCCTTCTCTCAATTGGCAGGTATATTATATTTAACAATCTACTATCATCTATTTCTTTATTATATACTTTCGCTGCACTTTTTTCCTATTATAGTATACTACTTTGAAAATTCTACAAAACCTTAATAGAAAGAAATAAAAGTAAGATGTCAGATTAATTACTGAAATAAATGCTATTTCTTGTAGATGTCAATGAAGAAAACTAGAAAAGGTTTAGGGTGCTTAGTGATGAAGTGATGGAGCGTTTAACAAAATTTTATCCTCAGACATACAATTAACCTAGAGCCTATAAGGACAATGATCATAAGACAGAACATACATTTTTTTTTTTATCTTTGATTGTTTAAAGTTGTGCCTATTTTCAATAGTATTGTGGCATGTTCATCATGCAGGGTTCTGAAGGAGAAACCAAACTTGAGAAAGAGAAAGTGGGAGATATATGTTAGTTGTGGTAGAGCTAACAAATGGTTCTTCAGGTTTCCAATACTCTAGGCATAATTATAATATAAAACTATAAAAAATTTCATTTTTTGATATATATTTTTTTGTTTTGTTTTGCAAAGGATACTAAAGAGCAAATCTTGCAAAGGATATTTTTTGTTTTATTTTGCAGAGGATACCCCTCATATTTTCCCAAATTACCCCTTCCTCTACAATGTTTTTTTTGTTTCTGTGTATTTTGTGCATTAGGTAAAGTTGATGGAGGAAAGGAATATCACTACTAGACAAACAGCCTTTTACGACGCGCAAATTACGACACTCATTGATCTATGTTACGCAAAAGAGAGTGACATTAAAAAAGAGTCATTTATTCAAAAAATTTAAGGATTTAGGTCACGCATTACTTCATGCCCTTAAATTAATGTCTCATGTAAAAAAATTAAAAACACGGAGGGCACTTTATCTAAAACGTGCTTCCTTTGTGAATGTCGCTTTATATATATATATATATATATATATATATATATATATATATATTAAGAAACGCGCGTCTCCTTCCTCTTAGAGGGAAAATGAAATCTCCAAATTTTTTAAACCCCCGCCTTCTTCTCCCTTTCATCTACCCCTCACCTACATCCACTACGTTCAATCCTCGATGCCTCTTCTAGCCTCAGACTGTACTGATTAAAAACTACAATTCATCAACCGTCAATCGAAACTACCAATTGAACAAGCCCTAATCGACACCTCCACCTTCTCATCTCTCCTTCTCCACCAGGTTTTATCGCATCTCTATCCTCCTCCTTCTCGTTTTTCCTTCTCCATTGACAACACCAACACCATTGTCATGATCTATTCCAACACCCACCACAGTCAAAATTGATGAAACCATACCTCCTCCTGTTTCCAACGCATCAAAATGGATTGCAGATGTCGACGCTTCTTGTTTTTATTATCCCATTTCTTTCAAAATCAAATCAACCCAAAACCCTAGTTCTTGTTGTTCAAATCAATTTCAATGTTGAACCTCCGACTTCATTTGTTTGAAGAAAAATATATTGGAAACAGTGTATCGGAATCCAGTAGTGGCGGTAATTGGTGAGAACGGTTCATGGAAAAGAACTCAACAATCTTAGATATTACACAAAAATGGCTACATGAAGATCGGAACCATCCCAATCACCCAGACCCACCGTGTTGCCATCGTCTATGTTTCTAGGTAATCATATTCTCACACCTTAATTTTTACCTCTCATGTATCTGTGCGACTTTGATTACTTCCTTGGATCATTTGAGGTTCCTTTTTTATCCTTCTTTTCTCCCAATGTTTCAATACACATGTGATTAAATTACACACGGGATCTCATTGTTTATTCATTTAATTGGAAGGTATGATAAGCGCTGGAATCTCTCAAGTAAATTATGCCCTGTAAAGGTATTGGTGTAAAATTTCATTGGTTTGGTTTCAGATCCTTTATAATTACTTCTGAAAGCTACTCTACACAAACTCAAAATGCAGGGCCTTTGTCTATATTAACAAATAAGTTAAGTAATTGGAATGAGTATTATGAATGGTGAGACACCCTTTAGATTCTCATGTTGTTGTGCGTCTTCACTGGGTAATGATGCAGTTTCATATACTTCATAGAAAGTATTGCTTGTTTTTTTAATGAATTGATTGATGTAGTGGGTTCATCAGAGGGCTTGGAGAGGAACTGAAGCCTCTAACATTCTCATTCCATGACAAGTACAAACAGAGGCCCCTGTTATCAGTTATAAGTATTGATTTGATTATATATATGATGGGATCTGAAACCAATTTAAAATACATATATGCATTCAGAGGTGGAAATCAAAGAAGAAGATTATCAGAGGACAAAAAGGTCAATTTCAATTGCATACTTGGAGCCTACGGGCATGAGTGCACAGCTGTTCGACTGCCCCAGAACGGAAAGTGTCACATGCAACCATCATTACATTGATTTCATGCTGTTGAAGCTAGTAAGCCACCTATGTACACAACATTTCACATATTATTTTTTTTGTTTTTTGTATGCCAAGATTCAATTTTTAATATTTTTTTATACCTTGGCAAGATTGATTGAGTTTCCAACTCTGTTGACTCCAACAAACACCACAACATATGGTTTCCTTTGCTCCTTGGAAACATGAACATTTCTCAAAATGTCAATAGAACGCCTTGGAGTCAACATACGAACAAGAGCATCTTTCATAGCAGCCTGCACTCGATATCAATTTCATATTTTTTATAAATCAACTAACCATGAAATACCCAAAATTACAAAAAAGGACAGAGTTTACTAACTCACCTGCACTGTTGATGTAAAAGAAGCAAGCTCTTTCCCGACCAGGCTGATTGCTACAGACTCGCAAATTTCTCAGCAATCTCTTCAGCCTGTGCCCCAAAATGGTAGATTTTGACATACAAACTCAAATTCAGATATCATTCTCCCTTGAAAACTATGTGTTGCTTATTAATGTTGCTAATTTGTTGTTCATTCTCGTTAACTTCATATTGGGTGTTGATGACCATGGTAATGATTCTTCATTTTGTGTATGATTATGATTTGACAGACAAGGCTGCAAGCACAGGCTGCTGGTGTAGCATACTCGCATCCAATGACTAATCTTATGAGTCGAATGGCCGTTTTTGGACCAAACATGGTATGTTTTCTTTGTAATATTTGTTAGAATGTTGTGCAATCTTGATAATCATGTAATTCTTTGTTTTAGATGTTTACGGATCTAAGATGTTCTCCATCATGTACGCGTGCTGGAGTACATGGTACAGTGTCCATCTGTCCTCCAGATTGCTTTGAGTAGAAAGGAACACTTGATGTTTTCTACCAAATTATTCGGCAGGTTGGTCATCTTCTTCCTCTTATATATATATATATATATTATGTAGTCCAGCACTTTTCTAATTGTTGATCATTTAAGATTTGTGAGTGTCTTTTTAGGAGGGATTTTGAAGATTATGGAGAGGCACCAATGCTGGCCTTGCATTGGCTATACTAACTGTAAGTCCCTGATTTTTTTTCTTTTTCTTCCATTAATGAATGCTTAATGATAACATTTTGTTTGAACAAGTGGGAATCTATTTGCCTTGCTATGACATCTTCCGTAATTGGTTTGAAGAGTTTGCAGCTGAAAATGCTCCAAGCATGACACCGTATGCCCCTTTGCTGGTTGGATCATTGTCACGCTCAGTTTAGGATGAGATGATTGCAGGATGAGATGAAAAGGTCTATATATTACAATACCCTTTATATGTATATCATGAAAATATTAAAAATGAAGGGCAAAACAGTCATTTTATGTCTGCGTTACTTTTTTTGTAGGGCTCTAGTCTGAGTTATGTAGAAAGCGAAGGCGGACGTCTCAAGGGAACTAATATATTTTTTTTAATTTAATATTTTTCTTTTTTCTTAATTTAATATGTAGACAGTGAAGGCGGACGTCTCAAGGGACTAACAAACCATCTACTGAGTCGACACATGCATGTTTTCAAAATTTGAATAATATTTTTCTTTTTTCTTTTTTCTTAATTTAATATTTTTACGTTTGTGACAAAAACTTTTATCTTCTGTACCCACCCGTGGAAGACACTCCTGTGGACTTGTCGCTTGCTCCAGAAGCCCCTTCAAAATCGTCGATGATCCCGCTAGCTCTGCTGTCAGAAATCCAGGTATTTCTCACTTCATATTGATACTGAAGTGAATTTACAACCCCTGTAAAAGCAAAACTATTTATGCTATGATCACAATTGATCGGAGTCTTTTTAATGATGGATTGATAATAATCTTTCTAATTCAGTCACTGCTGCATTGGATAAACAAGAATTTAAGTGTTTTTCTAGCTATGTTAATTTGGTTTTATGATCGAATTTTGCATTTTTGGTTTTAAAGTTAACTACTTACAATAAATACCTTCTGAAACTAATGTAAAAACGAACCAGTAGTAAACAAATTGGAGATTTGTTTTTTATAATCTAAAATCACATAAAAGAATTGCAAAACACATCTGATCACCTGCACAGATCGAGTGTAAAGATGAAGGATTATGACTTTAGTTGTGCTTGTTCAAATGCTTTCAGATGAAATTGCAAAACTTTTCCCATCCCTGTTTGGGCAACCATCAACAATATTGGTGCCAGGTGAATCTAATGAATCAGGATCTACCTTGAAGATAGGAGTTGTGTTGTCAGGAGGACAAGCACCAGGAGGGCATAATGTTATATATTTGGGATGTTTGGTTAGGATTTTGAACTTCCATTTCCTATTGTTTATATTTTTCATACTTCATATGATAGATTGAAGGATTGACTAGTAAACATCAGCAATATTGGTGCCAGGTGAATCTAATTAGTAAAGAAAGTTGAAGGATTGACTAGTAAACATAAAAGTAGAATGAAAATGACAAGTGATTTTGTGTTGTGTTTATAAGGTTGATGAAAGCGAATAGCTCTCGAGTTAGAAGTGGAAAAGAAAGCTTAAGCCGAAAGAGATAAGACGCTGAAAATGCAAGTGTTGTATTCTTCATTTCAATTGTTAGTATGAAACATAGAGTAGATTAGATGAATGCAAATTTATATATTGTAAGAAATAGAATTGTATGACATTAAAGTTTATGCAATGGATTGTATTTTTTTATATATGGTATTTTATTTCTATTATGACACATTAAATGCAAATTTAATTTAAAAATTAATAAATATATAAATATATATTTTTTTAAATATCTAAATTCACGATATGCAAAAATGTGTGTCATTTACATTTATGACCTGGCCTTTCTTGATACGCATTGCGTGTCATTAACACGTGCGTCGTAAGGTTTGGACACGCGAATGCGTGTCGTCTTCCTTTATGACAGGGCTTTCCTGGATACGCATTGCGTGTCGTAAACGCGCATCGTAAATGCGTGTCGTCTATAGACGACGCGCAAAAGTGCATCGTCTCTCTTTATGACAGGGCCTTCCTTGACGCGCATTTGCGCGTCGTCTGAACCTTTTACCACACGCAATGAGCGTCGTAAAAGGCTGTTTCTCTAGTAGTGTATGAAGCCACTTGATTCAAATCTTGCAGCATTATCAGCAAGATGCAGTAAAGACTTGGAGTCGAATTTGGCTATGTCATTCTTGAGTGAGATGGGCCAATGTACAACTACTTATCCATATAATCAGCTGCTTGGAGCATTAGTCTGAAAGAATTATGAAAGGCAAGATGCTACTTTACATAGTAGGAATTTGATGTAGAGTAGATTAGATACAAATTTAGATATTGCAAAAAATAGAATTGTATGACATTAAATTTTATGCAATTGATTGTATTTTTTGTATATGATATTTTATTTCTATTATGAAACATTAAATGCAAATTTAATTTAAAAATTAATAAATATATAAATATATTTTTTTAGAACATTTAAAATTATGATACGCAATAATGTGTGTCATCTTCATTTATGACATGACCTTTCTTGACAAGGGCTTCCTTGATACGCATTGCGTGTTATAAACACGCACGTTGTAAAGTTAAGACACGCAAATGCGTGTCGTCTTACTTTATGACAGGGCCTTCCTTGATACGCATTCTGTGTCATAACCGCGCGTCGTAAATGCGCTTCATAAATGTGCATCGTCTATAGACGACGCACAAAAGCGCGTCGTCTCTCTTTATGACATGGCCTTTCTTGACGCGCATTTGCGCATCGTCTGAGCCTTTTACGACGTGCAATGAGCGTCGTAAAAGGCTGTTTTTCTAGTAGTGAGTCTAGATTTGTTGTTAACTCAGAGTCTACTTCATAATCTATCAAGTAAGGATAAGTCAGACAGGACAGTTGGGAGGATGGACCATTTCGGCATACAGCTTTTTCTGAAATCCAACAACCAAACCCTACATGACCATTCTAAAAACCTCTTCCGTAAGTAGTTAAATCAGTATAACGACTTTGAATCATTGATAAATTTTATTTATAGGTTCATAATAACGATATTATAAGCTATATTTAAAGTAGGGTAGAATAACTTACTTCGCTAGGAGTCGGGCTCTGCAGGGGCAGAACTTAGTCGCTGAATCTTTCTACGAAAAATTCTTGCAGTGCTTCAGCGCTCACCTTACTATACTAAAAACTACAGAAAGAGAATTCAAATAATGAGGGACCGAAATGCTTGAGGGATAAGAAGAGAAAGACTCTTGAATCAAGAGAATGGTGCAAGAAATATGAGAGCCTAGAGGCTCTTATTTGTATTAATTAAATTTTCAAAAACCACCATCTATCTTTAATTAAATGACTAAACACCACTTTATAATACTATTTTAAATAGATTTAATGATATTTGTGCTAAACTAATGTCGAAAATACATGACATTAGTCTTATAGCGATCATATCACTGATACCTTTCTAATGATATATACATATGTATATATATACATAGATGTATATATGATTTACGCTTTATTTTAATACGTAAATGTGTTATTAAAAATTATAACTCGTTCATACGAACTCCATTTTTAATGTTCTTTATATCCATGCGTTGGTATTTACAAGTACTACAAATTTCTTTTAGACACCGTCAGCTGATTCTCATTCTATTCAGATTTAAAAAACTGTATCGAATTTGTCTCGCTTGAAGAGTAGAGACTAAGTATCGTCCATATCTTTCGCATACGAGCTCCATTTTCGACTGTCTTTTTATTGTTAAGCTTGTAGTAATGAGATCTTAAATTCTCGTTTAGAGTGTTTTGGTTAAAAATCGACCGATCTAAAATTCAAATTTCGGGCTGTGTATTGCTACGCTAAATCTTAGAAAAATCACTTCCTCATACGAAGTCAGATTTGAACATTCTTTTTATGCACACTCTCGGCTTAATATATAATATGACTTTCGTTTATATCGCTAAGTCTAGAAAGTATTTTATCATAAATTCACTTTTTACGATTCCCGGTGTCGTGTCGGTTTTGCCGTAAAACTTCGACGGGTCATAACTTCTTTGCTATAACTCGGATTTCAACATTTTTTATATGCACGGAACCCTTGTGACATATACTATAACTTGGTCAAGAATATTTATTCTAAATAATCTTATATCAAAAAAAGTTATTTTTGACGCATATTATTTGTAAATTGACTAACCCGAATTTGCGGGTGTTACATTGTTGGAGAGAGCACGTAAATCTAGGTTTTTAATTCATCCTGCCACAATGAAGATGTTCATGGACATGAGACACAGTTAATGGTAGCCCTGCATGAAGAGGGAGATAGCTTGGTATGTTGAGAGGTGCTTGACTAGTTGAAAATTCAAGGCCGAACACTAAAGGCATCGCGACAAGTTGCAACCATTAAAGATTCTTATATGGAAATGGTAACATATCACCATGGATTTCATAACAAATATATCAAGGGCAACTAATGGATTTGATGCTATTTGGGTGCTCGTTGACCGGTTGTGCAAACGTGCACATTTCATTGCCATGCATGAGAGATCTTCACCTGAGAAATTGGCTGATGTCACACCCCCAAACCTGAACGGCGGAAACGTTCGGGGGCAGAGGACATCATGTGTAGTATCACTACAATACGCAATAGTAATCAAAGTACAACATTCATTACATTCATAAAATATAGCTTTACATCTGTGTTCAAATGATTATATATTTGGCACCAAAAAGTATAATTTACAAAAATAATAATATAATATTGTGTCTTCCTCAAAAAATTTTGATACATGTTTAATGATTTCCTGAAAATACAAGTAGTTTTGAAAAGAGTGTCAACAATTAAGTCGGTGAATTCATAAGTATGAAATGAAAATATTTTGTCATTTGTTTTTCTGTAATGTAAATATGTTCACCTAGAAAATCCTATATCTTATGTTGTATATGTATTTGTATTCCAAAATAATATATTTTTAAATCCCCATACAACTATAAAAAATATGTTTTTTTTTCTGTATTTGAATAGTATCCAGTATTTCTACTTGTACAAAGTTGTAAATATCAAAATTTTACCCTTTATAGTTTTATTATTATAAAACTATGTGAAGTTGTTTACTTATTATTCAATACGAAATTGGGAGTATGATAACCATACTTGATGACGTAAGGCTCTCTTAACACACAATGTTCTTCAGGCGTTGTAAAATGGTACGAACAGTTAACACCCCAGGCTTGCCGGCCTAGTTGTTGCAAGCAGCTTAGGTGCGGGATTGTCAGTCCCGTATAGATCTATACACAAGTGTCACACTCTCCCTCCAGGAGACTCTGGTTATAATTTTCAGGACTTTTTTTTATACTTAAATAAGTACTTGAAGCGAGTCTCACAAAAGTTATATTGATAATATGTAAGATAGTAAGAAGTTACTTTAATATAAGTATACGAATAAATAAGTTTCATAAACTATATAAAATATAGTTTTATATGTAGTAAAGTATTCCATTTGTTTTTTGATGATTGTTTTATATGTTTACTTAATGGTAAAGTATTCCATTTGTTTTCTGAAGATTGTTTTATATGTTTATTCTATTTGTATTTTATACTATGTTTATGTGTTTTGAAACTTGAAACCAAAGAATGTGTTCTCTAAACTATACCTACTATAGTTTAGTTGCCTGTTATTGTAATAAATTCCGAACTGGTAAGATAGTTTGTTTATAATAATCATAAACTAAATAATCAAATTTATGTTATTCATACGAGAAATCTTCGTATTTTACTTGTATTTTCTCCCTTAAAACATTATAAAAGTATTGAAAATATAGGGGTATGAACTCACTTGATAGGTGGTGATTTGGATAGCGTTTCGTCTTTTGGAAAGGAGTTTATTTGAAGAAAAACCGGCTTTATTTGGATAGAGTTTCGACTTGAGAAGGTTGTTTTTCTTGAGAATCTCGAGGCTTCGAGGCTTGCTTAGGGTTTTAGATATGATACCAGGGCTCTGGGGGTTGTAGGTGAGGTTGTGGGAGTGAAATATATGAAGGTGTGTGACATTTGGGGTGAAAATAGTATTGGAACCAAGAGATCTCGCAGACCTTTTATAGGCCGAACTTCGGATTTGGAAGGAAGAGTCAGCAGGTGAGGTACATGGGGTGGGTCGCAGGATGCCACTGGGTGCGAGATGCCTCAGATCAAGAGTGGCCAACACTTCGGTCTAATGAGAAGATGGCAAGGGTCCGAACTCGGTGGCGTCTTTGTGCGAATGGTGTCGGATAGCAACTGGACCGCAATTTCGGTTGAATCAGAATGCGACGCGTATCGGACCCGGGTGCAGCGGTTACTGTTCATGCGAAAAT